GCCGATGGACTACTGTTGAAGAAAGAAAACCTCTAACGCATTAGACGGATTTAACATGCTATTGCTCTACAGTACATACTGCAGGTGTTTGTACATTCTTATTTGCATGGCTTTCTGCATGATACCTTGCTGGTTGATAACTCCCGTGTAAAGTACTCTTCAAAGATCCGGTTCACAAAATCCGCAAGAGTGAAAGGTGAGTAGGCAGCAAACTGGCTTCTCTGGTCACCGAGCTTCCAAAGGGATGTCTTCGATCATGGTCCACATGGCATCCACGATTGCACCTCACATTGATCCACCCGTGCGACGCCCCGAAGTCAAACAGTCAATAGTTTCATGTGGCTTTATAACACTCGCCCCTTCTTTCTGCTGACCACCTTGGTTTGCAGGCTCAGTTTTCCACGTGGTTCATTCTAAGAAAGGGGATGCCCAAACTCCTCTGAATTGACGTGCACCCTGCATTTCCAGGTGATCCGAGCCACGAACATGAAGCTCAGCCGAGCCACGAAGCTGAAAATTGTGATGATGACGGGCACGTCGTGGGAAGTGCAACACTTCCCACTGGTCAATCCAATCCTGAGGATTTTCATGCGAGAGAATCTCAAGGGCCTTGTTGGGGGGTCCTTGGGTTGGTCGCCTCTGATCACCTCGGACTTTCAACAGCTTTCCAGCTCCTACATGATCCAATCTGCATCTTCTCAACTTCCAGGGTTCCAACCTATCTTCACCTACTTTCGCAAGGAATCCAAAGCACCCAGTCAAAGCAGGGGCCGGCTGTTGGAACACCACTTGACGGATCTCAAAGACTGGCCTTCAAACGGGTCAGCTATTAAAGAACTGAGTGTGAGCCTTTGGCACAGTTGACCACCTGTACTAATACCTACTATCCATTAAGGCGCCTCTATCGTCAATACAGTTACTTATAAGTGTTCTTCGCGATTGACGCTTCCACGACGCACCCGACCGGGACACCATCGACCGGGACAGCCCGAGGACTCTTGTACAGCTGCCGCAATGGACTGGACCATTCGTAGCGTGATGTAGAAAACACAACACACACCCGAGAGACGAGTCACGAAACACAATATGATACCCTAGATGAATCAAACGGACGTAGCGGCAGACCTACAAGAAAGTGTTCTCAAGTGCTTATCGTCCACCAACTTTGACCTATAATTGGTAGGTATATTATATGATCGGCATATCGGCTTGAACCATGTCCATTCTCTTCACATTATGTATGACACCTGACCACCTTTCAATGGTGGACACCCAAAAAACCTCAAGCCTGCAAGACTAGTTGACCCAGTTTGACCGTGTTTGACCAGCCTTTCTAGGTCCCGAAGTCCCGCCGAACATCTTCCGGGGCCCACTAGGGTGTGAAAACAAGCGGCCCACCTGGTGAACCCCGCAGGGTCCGCTCAACTCCGCTCACATCACCAGGGGCGCTTGGCATTGCCAAGCATGGCCAAGCATCCAGCTTGCTGAGGGCCAACACTCGACTGGCCACAAAGGGAATCGTGCATTTCGGATCATGTCTCACTCTGGAGATCCTGGGACCGGAACTCCAAAGCGTCCGACGGTTGGTTTGGCTGGTCGACGTTTTCCGTGTCAAAGTGGATGTTTGGAAGGCTTCCCAAACGTTTGAGACAGAAGACACACACACATATATTTTCCGAATTGTGCCAGTAGTTGTCATCCATGAGTTGGACATCCAATCCCAAATCGACCCCTCCAGAAGACCTGAAAGAATCCTTTAAAGGTGGCCACTGATCTCGTCACAGCGCCTATCAGCGCCTGATGTTTTGCATGACTTTTGATAATTTGTACTGGAAAGTTAGCATGGAGAGGGGGGCACTTGCGACAGCCACAGCTGCGAATTCGGAACTCCCCAAGCCCGAGGATGCCACAACTTCCACAGCCGGAGTCAAAGGAAGGGCATGAAAAGCTTCACTGAAGCCTTGAGGAGACGTATATACTCCATGGATGGTCGGAAACGGTCTAAAGATGTTGAAGTCTAGCGGTGTAAGATGGTGTAAGAACTGACCAGCTATGGATTCAAAAGAGATAGACCCGTAATGGAAACGGAGGCGCTCGTAGAAGGCATCGCTGAGCCAGAAGTCTCGATAGGTCCTGGCACGCCCAAGACGCAAAGAGGGTATAACGCATCACCAAGACGCGAAACATAAACTAACTGTGATCCAACACCAAACAACTTAACTTCACTAAAAAAGATTAAGGCTGCAGCAAATCCTCTTCATCTGGATTGGCCATGAAAACTGATCAGCCGTGCGAAGCCGTGCGGTGCCATTCTCCACTCACTTGGCTACTCGACAGGGGCTGGATGCCTGGACCCGAAAGTGGAGTGTCCTGGTTGCCTTTGGATCCACGAACTTCCAAACCTACCAGGGGCGTTGAAAACGAAGAGGGGGGGAAGCCTCATCCTGGAGTGTTGGCAGTGTTGGATACCAAATGTCAGTTTCCTTGATGGAAAGACCTTGGAAGTTGTGTGAAATTGTACAATTTCCCTTATGCAAGTGCAATGTATCCGCTTGGATGAGCATTCAAACATATTCAAACACAGCCGCGCAAAGAGCACAAAGAGCCTTTTGCACAAGTTGAAGTCCGGTATCAGTACCTGCCCATAGTCATGACATATTTCCCATCCCCTTTGCACCTCTGAGATCAGCGCTTCAGAACAGTTGGGCTTGGGGCCGCAGCAGTTCTCAAAGGTGTAGGGCTCGCTCCAACCTTTGTCCAGTTTTCTAGGACCAACAGTTTGGCCAGTTTCTCGGTCTCTCTACTAGTAACAAGGTGCATCGCTACTAGTTGCAAGGACATGCAAGGACGCTACTAGTAGCTAAGTACATTACTAGTAACAAGGTGCTGCATTCCATGTGTTCCATGGTTCCGTGAATTGTTTGGCATTGCAAACTCAAACCCAAACATTGCGACTGCCAACATACGTTCCTTTTCCAAACAGAACCGTGCATCGCAAGGAAAACATAAACACCGAGACCACACAATCCCGGTCATGCGCATAAAGGGCAAACACGACTTGACGTTGGGGGGGGTGAAACCTTTTGCGCCACCCTTCCACAAGAAGAATCAATAGTCGTTCTGAAAACACCGCCGCCGCTGAATAACATATTTTGTGTGTAGGTTTATGTACTGGCATGGTCTAGGGTATAAGGAATATAAGCTCTTCTCGACCCACCAGTCACCACTCACAGCAACCGACCGACTGGATCACCAAGCAACACTTCCACCAGCCACCCGGCCATTGCGCGTCGTCGCAGCAGAGATGCTCCGGGAACCAAATGGAGACCTCACGCGTCGGGTCTCGGAAGGTGCCGAACACCCGGTTCCTGTCGGGTTAAGCTCATTCACCCAAACAATGTTGCCGGTCTAGATTAGGTCTAAGAGGCCGGGAACTCGGATGAACTCGCATGTCATCCTTCGAAAATGGTCAGCTAATGATGATGAATCATATAGTATCACTTGGCAGAAACATGTCACGATTCCTAGTCCCCAAATGGCCATTGTTCCAAATTGTCTGGATACTCTTGAGAGGTTGAGGGTCCCAACTCTCATACTTGCACACGGTTGAGTGATGAGTACACCATCACTCATGGTCTGTTGGTCTGTTCATGTTCGCCACCAGCGTTGGCCCGGCTAGCCCTGTTCGATTCCTCCCACCTCGTCGTCTCCAAAGCATTTCAAGGCAGGTAGCGGCACCGCCTGGGTCATGGTGATGGATGGTGACGGTCAGAAGGCTGGAGGATGGTGGTTTCAAGTCACAAGGCCAGGGCGGCCAGGACGGAGTCATGAACTCTGTGAGCCACCCAGCCACACCCCGCTGATTGAACCTCATTGCAATGCACTCCCAAGCCACCTTGGCCGCAATGAGAGAAACCCCCAGCGCAGCAAAGGGCCGCCACCACAACATTGGCCCATGCCATGGTCCCAGAATCACCGCTGAACGGAGAGGAATGCTGAACGGAGTTTCTGAGAATCTCATTGAACGACTCGAACGACTGAATGAAAACAAAGGTGACCAAGGGTGCGATTGAAACTCTAGAATCCTCTAGAGCCAAAAGCCATGGTTCCTCACGTAGTGGTAAGTATGGTCCAGTGGGTTCAACGAACGGTGCCTTTCTTGGTACTTATCCAAATGTGTTAAATGTGATTGTAGTGTCTCGTTCCTCACTGTTGGGTCGAAGGTGTGGCATTTCTGCGTACTTGTTTTCTGAGTTTCTGAAGGGTGTTTCCAGGTCCTATACTATATAACTCACCAGCCACACGGGCTGCTGCGACGCATGCGAAGAGAGATTGCTTGGTCCAAGTCCAGGAGTCCATGTGTGGCTGAGAAAGGAAAGGGACTCAGCATGTTGCTGTATTAAGGAATGCCTGGCATGCTCAAGTGAATAGCAAGCTAATAACCCGTAAATGATTGGCCCGGAGATGTCCTTTTCAGCAAATGCATTTTTGCTTCAACTCAGAATAGGTCGCTTCTACCTATCCCTACCAAATAAGGTCATCGATCTTTTCTATGATCTGAACATGGCTAGCTTTTTCGCTAAGCTTGGGCCATGCGGAACCTCTCGATATATTCTGCATCTTCCCACTTTTACAAACACGTGATCCAAACATCCAAGTATATGTACAAAAACACCCCCATGTCGTTGCAGAATCGTTTCGGCCCGGAAATCCCGTCGCAAATGGGGAGCTTCTCGCCGACCTGACAGAAAATGTATCGAACTTAACACAAACCTTCGAATCAATACAACTCGCTCGCCGCTTTCTGTTCCTGTCCCGCTCGAGTAAGACTACACCGAGGCGACTCGTTATCAGGCCACAACCGCAGAACAGTAATGTTCCCTGTTGCAGAGGTCAAAGGCAACCCCTATCTCACAACTGATGCTTCTCACTTAGTTTGGCCGCTGTGAGGGTTCTGCCTGGAAGAAACTTCAATCTAGATGACTTAACATCTCTTCAAATCCTGAACCCCGTTCCTGCGGATGTGGCGGGCATGGCTGAAACCACAGTCCAGTTTCACTTGATCACACCTCCATTCACGTTGATCTGGGTCGAGTGGTCCGCGTTTCCATGCACGGTGTACTGCTCGTAAGTCTTGTCCTGGTGAAGTGCTTAGCTTGCTCTGGACGTGATCCGCAAAACATATGTATGGACATGTGGGTGCCTTCGACAAAGTATAGTGCATAAATGAAACTCCGTGCCACTTAACTAATTTATTGCCTGTGTTGGGGTGAGTTACACTGTGCGCTGGAACAACCACTGCAAGTCCAGCAAAACATGAATCAAGAAGAAACAAGGAGACCAACATAGACCAAACTATATAATTGGAGAAGCATTGGTACGGGATGGTATATAAAGGTACCAACATCATCAGAATAGTTAATTACGGTGTCTCGTGTTAGAGCAACAATGATAATCGCCATATGGTCACAAAAAAAAAAAACATAATAGCATGCCGACACCTCGCACCATCCCGTGCCAACCCACATTCTGTGTCTCCGAATGTCTCCGATCTGCTAAGTCAATAAAGCAAAACAGTTGAAGTAAGTAGGAGCAATCTGTTGGAAGTTGTATGTCCAAATTCTCTCTCTGGTACTACTTGATGCATAATGCATCTTAATGTGCTGTCCTCCTAAGGTTCCAGGCCTATTCCTTTGTTGTTGTCAGCTGGATTCACCGGTTGGTTGCGTATCCGGCACGACGAAGCATGGGTGCCTGGCATCTTGAACTTCCAAAGTCATGGTCCGCATGCACGTTTATTGTAAATGACGACCGGGTCTGAAAATTATCATGGTTACAAGTTAGAAGGAACAACTCAACCAGGCAACAGTTGCCTGCGAGGTGTTGACTCTTAATCAGCAATGGCGGCCCAACTGAACAATGAACTATAGTGGTTCACTCCAGTGTTTCTATTATAGGTGCAGGGTCGTTGAATCGACAGGAGAAAGGTGTAGAAGGGCAGTACCAAGAAAACACACATTGGAAATTCCAGCTTCAACTGGCACAAGTCATCCACTTTCCCAAACTGGTTGTTTGGACAAAGAGCTAAACCTGAGCTAAACCCTAATTGGCACAACATCCATATGATTCTCCATTCAACCGAACTTTCCAAGCACCAGCCGTTCCGACACCTGCAGTGACTGGCCCGGATGCTCCACCCGGCCCCCGAGTGTCCCGAGAATACAGCTCCCAGCGACTGGCTGGAAAGACGTGCCTCAGTGGTCAGTTCATCTCCGTGCTTTTTGGGGGGGATTGCTCGAGGCAACAAACATGAAACCGGGCAAGGTATCTTGCTGCATAGCCGTGATACATAAGAAAGAATCCGGTCCCCAACAAGGCAGGATTATACCATGGAAACTAAAAACCAATGCTCAAGGAGCCTCAAATTATATACAAAAACCGTGGAAGGAGAGCTGTGTAGAGCAATTGAATGGGAGCCTTCAGGATTCCTCGAAAAATATAGCCTGAGACTCATCCTGTGCTGCTTCTTGCCCTGCACACTGTCGTGGTGACGAAACTTAACAAACATCGTCGAGCAGCATGACATCAGCGTCTGCCAAAACGTACTATCAAGTAGAGGGCATGATTCAGCTAGGGGGGCCTATCGCTTTTGCAGTGCCGTGGGTGATCCTGTTTCACCCAAACCATGTGGACATATTAATGCACATCAGTACTTTTGTTGTAAACCAACAACATCAACCAACAACCTTATCCGTGTGCAGCCCCAAGGGTGAAGCCCAAGAGTGCACCCGAGGCGATGGCTTGCTCTTCTCGTACCACTTCTTATCCACAATCTTCCCTGCATGGCTTTCATCCTGCAGGACCAAAACCACAGCTTCTAGCTCGGCAAGCAGCCTGACCTACCCCACCCGGCCTACCCTCCAAAGTCCAAACAACAACACTGGGCAGCGGATGTTTCAAGCACCCCAGTGGCAAGGACTATCGGGACTAGGAGCAGGTCTCTCAGCTCCCAAAAACGCAGGTTGCTCGGTGGGCATCCAGTTTGGGAGACCCGATCAGGAGAAATGACCCTCCTTAAGGCACGGAGACAAAGAAGCACGTGTCTCACCGACAGGCAGTCACATGGAGCCTGCTTCATGCAAGCGACACAACAGGAACGGTCACAATGGAGCCCGGGCCTTCTCGATCCGGGAGTCGTTGGACATCCGGATGTCCTTGCTGCCATTGAGGACATGGACACACGCTGCATCTATATTAAGATACAAACTAAGAAAGAAACTAAGAAAGGTGAAAGGCAGTGATTGGGTGCATCCTAATGCATCCTAGCAGTACCAGGATAGTACCAGGGGCCTTGGGCAACGATCACGAAGCCCACATGGCAACATCCGTCCGACATCGACTCTGACACATGTGACAAGAAGTGTGAAATCGTTCTTCAGTCCCGGATTCAGGGATCTATACTGGGAATCTACTGATGAATCTGTGCCCTCCTCGCTCAGGCACAGCAATCTGGCAGTGCCCAGCTGGCCTCATGCACATCGAAGTGGAACAAGGGGCCTGACTTCCCCCTGGCCTTCTCCTGGCGAACATGTCAATCCTCCGAGAAGCTGATGAACTGTCACTCGCCACAACGAAAGACTTCTACAGTAATGGTTTAGACTCAAGTGATCTCAAGTGCATGTATTTAGCGGATGAACTGACTCGTGTCATCAAATAGAATCAGGTTCGATATGGTTCGATCAGGTTTACAGCATTTCACTTCAAATCCGACTTGAAGAATCTCAAAGTCTGAATTCACAACGTGGAAGGCCGGTGAACATGCTTGTCCGGCATCTTACCGCCTTGGACTTGGACCTCTCAACCTGGCTCGATGTCCTAACCTTTGATTTGGGTGTGTCTGAATATCAGAATTGGAGAATCTGTGTAATCCGCTATGCGAAGAAATGATTCGGACCCTCACACGCTGTATCCCCTGCAGTGGGCCAAAAAGGGATGCCTCATGAGCAATTAGATATGCAGGTTTGGTTGACCACGGACATCTGAAGCTCGGACATCATCCTGCAAACCCATGCAGAGTAGATCCAGAAAGTCCACAAGCCTGGGGTCGGGGGTGCCAGGACAGTCATCCCAAAGACGGCCAGGATCCCCTTAAAAAACGATTCCCAAAGAACTGGTTTGGCCTTGATGAGCTCGTAGAAGGTCACATTGTGTGGGATGATCAAATCTTCCTTCACGTACCTTGTCAGCACAAAGTACAGCTAGCTAGGCTGCAAAGTTGTTGGAACATTGAAATCCACCTTGTTTGGCGGACTAGATGAGGGTTGCTTTTCCGAGACATCCTGGCTGCTTAAGACACGGAAAGGTCCAATGCTGGCAAAATAGAAGGCACTGAGGTGCATGAAGGATGTCCCAAGTGCGAGCTTAATAGGAGATGTAACTGTACCTGTGCTATCTATCTTATTGAGGGATCCTTCACTGTCATTCACCAGCCGCAAAAACAAGTTGCAAAGTCTGCGGAGACTCGTCATTGGGCTGATTCGCTGCCATAAAATGTTGCCCAGGTATTCTTGTTTTGTTCTTTCATCGCAGCAACTTCTTGTCAAATATTCACCCCATGATGTCCGTACAGGAAAGTCACAAAACCCTCAAAGCTCCTGAGTGGCAGCGGATGCCATAGGTTTCAATAGGACCTCATACATCCCAGCTGTTCAAAGAAGCTTGCACATTCCTCACAGTTAAGTTTAGGCAGAAGAATATAGAGTCCTTTTTCCAACAAAAAATCATCAAAAATCACTCCCTAGATGATCCTCCAGCCTTTCATCCTTCGGCCTCACTCCCACCAGCTTAAGACCCTTCAGACCTCATGGGCCGCTCCACACGTCAGACCCACCGTCGGGCACATCAACGTGTCGGAGCCGACGGTCCGCAACTCCGGAAAGTCGCTCTTCTCCTGTCCACCCGGACGGAGCTGACGACAGCGGGTTGACCGGGACGGAGCTGATGTTGGGTGTAAGCGTTTGAAGGAATTATATACTCGGAATGACTCAGAACGACTCGTCGAAGGGCGGTTTAGTACGAAGAACCAAAGGAAAAAGCTCCTAGTAGCGACCTGGCTCCTAGTAGTAAGGCCAGGAGCCCCTAGTAGCGTCCTTGATCCGAGTAGCTATGCCCTTTGCTCCTAGTAGCCTCTTTGCTCCTAGAACGTGGCACAGCTGAGTTCTCTAGAATTCAGACTTGATTCCTGGTTCCTCAAGACAAGCAACCATTCCCTCTCATCTTTAGCCAATTGCCCGTTGACAGCCAACGCGTGAAAGATCCGATTTGACAAAAGTAAGGTCCATGCACAAACAACATCAAACAACTTGGGGTTAGAATACGGTAGAATTCTGTTCGCTCACAGCGTCGTGTACGTCACATCAGAATCACAGGTCACTACATGTCACTACATGTCACTACTGTCCAAGCTACGACCCAAGCTACAAGCGGTGGGGCATCTGTTGCATCCATTCAATCTGGCCGCCGAGGGGCCAGGTCGGCCTTCGCCTTTTGCAGGAATTGGCCTCGTGTCGATTCGGCTCAGCGAATCCGCCGAAATCCGCCGATCCAGAAAGGATGCGATCAGGATCCGCGGGTCGATTGTGTGCCAACTGATGCTGATAAGACACACATGTTCTACACATCAATATACAAAGTGTTAAGCCGATCGAGTGTACAAAGTCACAGGTTTATATAAAGACAAATAAAGCTGGCTGTGCATGTCTGCATGTCTACATTTTGACAATGAAATTGCTTACAGTATGCATCGATGGAAGGACTTGTTTTCTCTTTGACACTTTGTTGGATACATAATATATTCATGATGATTCACGATGACTTATGAGGCAGCCTTGGTAATCCGTGAAATAAACAAGCCGATTTGTTCTGGGTTCACTCATAGCATCTCATATCGATTGATCCGTTGCTGTTCACCATGACTCACTGTGGTTTCCCAGCCAATCGTGAAGCCCCGCTCGATGACACAGGTCCTCCGGTGCCCGGAGCCTCGGTTCGTCATCTCGACCGCTGGGTCTCGGAATCCGACGATGGATGGTTTCCAGTGTGACGGGTCAAACCCCCGTATGCCTCTCCGTGTGCCCAAAACATGCATATAATATATATATATGTATATATGTCAAACACTTAAATGCCACAGTGGATGAACACACGTGGCATGCGTGGAACTCTACCCAAATCAAGCCTTCAGTAAAGTTTCTCATATTTGTCGAGTCCATCCAAGCAATGATCATAGAGGCTCACAAGGCACTAAGCAAATAGCCAACACTCATAAGAAAGTTGAGAATCACATCCAATCCTTTTTTGGTCTTGACCTATGAGGATGTCTCCATATCCTTCATGAACCATTTGACCTTCGGCGTCACAAAGGTCCTTTGCAGCCAACAAACCATCCCAATAGGAATAAGTCACCTCCAACTTCGTCTTCTTGAGCTGCACAAAAGCCAAGCAAGGAGCAAGAGAAACACATGAGGTACACTGTACAGTGAACGGTTATTGGAACATGTCTACTCTACGCATCCATGTCAACATCCAAGTGGCGGAGTCCTCCTATCCTGGGCTGACCTTAAAACGGTATGAACATGTATGAACACTAGATCAAACTAGTTCGTCGCTCGCTGGGTTGCCAGTTGGTCGGCGACCGCAGGACCCTAACAAAATAGAATAAGCCCTTCAGGTCTCAGGCCTCTTCTTGCTCCTTCTTGTATTGGACCTAAGGTCTGTGGTCACCATGCCACGTGTCTACTCAACTGCCTGCACTAACTCCCAGGATTCCCCACGAATCAACTTAGTGCGGCTGGGTTGTCCAGTTCGCTGGTCCGCTGGTCCGCTGATGATCGCTGATCCGCTGATTTGCTCTGGGTGAGGCGGGGAGGCATTTGGAATTTCAGGTCGGTTTCTGAAACCCTAGGTGGCTGTGAAAACAACTTGTTTAACGTTTAAAGTTTAAAGTTCAAACGAATGGCTGGGAGAGCCCCGAGGCGGGAACGGCTGGCAAGGCACCCTGGCTAAGGCCAGAGGTCCGATGCAGAAAATGCATGTCCTTTCCAAGTTTTACCCGCGGCGGGGCAAAAATGCCATGTCGAGGTCTTTATTTGTGTTTTAGTTCTTGTGCCGAACGGATGCCCATCTCGCCCATCTTTTGAGCACATTACAAAATGCTTAGTAGGTATAATATAGGCTAGCTGTCAGTCAAGGATCCTCTTGCCTCGTGGTGGAAGTGCACATGAATGTCTTAATTCACTTTCTTTGACCACCTCCACATGTCCCCTGACAACAGCTTGGTGACATCGCTTATAAAATAGCACTTGCATGGTTCTCATTCAGCTGGGGCCCGTGACCGTTCGTATGGACAGGTTCGCACGAAAGCCATCTTGGGAGGAGCGATGCGGTTTTTTGCCGGCGATTCCTTTGCCGAAGCCTTAAGGGCAACCTGTAAATAAGTGCCACTGCTTCAGCCAGAAACCGCTCAAAACAAGGAAACAAGCACAATACCGCGCCAGTGGTTTGGGCCGTAGCTTTTCCCATAGTCTTCACTAACAAAAAACAGCACTTTCACTTTTGTAAGTTTACATGCGGCATTTCTGCTTTGCCACACCCGCACGCCACAGTCCAAAAGCTGGTTTGTAGGCCAACTTTGATCTTTAGCCCGCGGGCTTGACAAATACACATGCAATGACCGTGGGAAAAGCGCTAACTCCCAGAGCGTGCTTCCCACTTGTTTTCTTGCTGCCCCATGTTTTGTTGATTGAAGGCTTTTGTTTTCACAGCCCCAGCTGATTGCCCTTAAATTATCTAATCTAAATGTCTTGACCGCTGTCTTGTCCAGGGTGCCTTTGGCGACTTTGATTGTGATAGTATGTGATAAGTAGTTACGATAATTAGTTGTCTTTAGTCTTGGCACCATGCCGGCGTTACACACAAAGAAATTTGTTTCACCACTGTCTTGTCTGGGGGTAACAAAAACTTGTTACGTTGGGCTCTTTTGGTGTTTTGGATACTTTAACGGGCCGTAGTGTTGACAAAGGTGGACCATTGGAGCACCAGCCCTTTGCTCAACCTTTGTCTAAATCAATCATTGTTGATGGAAAAGGTACTTTTTGCAGTGTTTAAAGCTGCAAACTTGACATCAAAATTCGTTTAACATGTGCGTGTTCTCACCACAGTTTTGACATACACAAATGTGCAAAAATGCATGCTCCAAACAGAAAAGAAACATTGAAAGCGACTATATTATCATGAACTTCCGAGTCGCACAGGATGCACTGATCTGGTGGTTGATCCGCATATTTCCGCTGACTCTGTTCCCATCCAAACGATCAGCCGGTCCGCTGGTCCGGATTCCGCTGATCTGATCCTCTGGCTTGGCGAACGCTGGGTCCCCTGCTGACGACTTCCAGGCATGACACAATCACTTGTCAAGTTGCAATCTTTGTTGACATTGGAGCGCTAGAACCTGTCTGTAGTGTAACCAAGCGACAATGAGCTCCTTCTTCTTCCGCAGGAGCTCTGCTTCACGATCAGCATCGTACCTGAGGAGGGTCTTGAATGTGTGTCTTTGGCCGGAGTAGCCTGAAAAGCTAGAGCAACAATCAGAGTGGCACATCGGTTGTCGCTGGAATGCATGATGTGGGATGTATACTACCTCTTGAGGCAAAAATACAATAGAACACAAGCCGTTGTACTGCGGTGTTGCTAAAGCACCTTGCCAGCAATTGAAAACACACATCAATGGTTGACTTCGGCCCTGTCACTGCTCCCTGGGCACAGGAAGTCGGTCTTGGCGTTGGGGTCCTTGCCAAACCTGGCGCAAAATCGACGTGAGGTGGACTGCTGGTCTCTATATAGATGCTTTCCAACGAAATCCTGCAGACACTTGGCTTGGCCTTCATCAAGCAGGATTCTATGAATCAATTCAACACGACCCAAAGTGATAAACATGTGGATCTGTTCACGATTCAGCAAGCCCGTTGGTCGAATGGTCCACCCACACTGGATTGAAATTTTGCTGGTGTCCTGCATCTGATCGAATTGACCGATGACAGCATCGTTTCCAGCGTCATGATTTGGCCAACCCGGCAATAGCAGTTGCTTTTGCATGCAAATTCTGACAGAATGATGTAAATGGGATCTCCGTATGCCAGTGCGGTATTCGGCCATATCGCTGGCTATCAGCCCCACTGGCAGAGTGCACCTCTTCTTTTTGGCTTTCATTTCGTCGCTGTCGGAGTCTTCCTGGCGAAGATAAGAGACAAGCTAGGAACCTTCTCAATAAACTTAATCGCCAATACATATGGTTCCATGCAGCAACATGGTCAGTGCAACCATGTTCCTCCACCAGGATAAAGAAGCATTTGACCGAGTCAAGACATCTCTGTGAGTCAACACATGTTATTTTTTATTGGGGGTGAGAGTACTGCTTTCACCAATACCCAACTCTGTCAATTCTCCGGGGACACGATGATTGACACTTGCGTCGCTCAATCACTCATCGTCTGGGTCCGTGATGGACATGACTGAGATAACATGAGATAGGCATGTTCCAACAGGGGGGACTTGAACCACCAGCTTCAGGTGGGCCGCTTATGAGTGTGAGCTCCAAGGATTGGTGAAAACAACTGTGCTCTTCAGTGCTCTTCACCGTTGGCCTCATTCGGACTCCAAAACACTGCCATGGCCTCTGGCTCCTCATCACTCCCCAGCATGTCATCTGCCTTGTGCCAAGCATTTGCTCCAGGAGGGCCACTCTTGGCAGGATGAATCAGCTAAGTTGCATCCTTGTTTAGTCAGTGCAGGCACGAGTTATCAACGTCAAGGTAGGAAAGCAAGCTTTTGTGTTTCACCACTCACCACCCCAAGTGAGCAATCTTCTCCCAGGACGCCCCTCATCCAGAAAGCTAGGGCAGCCAGGGATGTGATTCAAGAAACACCAACCAACAGCCCCTTGAAGACCTCGAAACAAACATTAAGCTCCAATTGAACGATGTTCGTTGTAGTTCCCAGGGAGACAACTTCTGTTGATGCTACGACTCCTTCAACACCTCACATGACTGTCATGACCTACTGGCAAGACCCAAATAGACCAAAGCCACACCCCCACACGGCCAAATCTATTTGATTCTATTTGCCCTCTTTGGCACACCGGACACCAACCGGGACACCCACCCATGCGTAGCCTCAAAGGAGAGCTGAGCCGACTTCACCGTCCTCTTCACCCGTAGGGACTTCTTGTCCTGGACTGCGGGAATGGATGAAAAAGGAACCAAGCAAAGAAACTGATGACCCGCAAACTCAAACAGAGTTAAACGTTTTCCTGTCACACACCCCAAAGAAACCGACAACAAAACAACAGGATACTGGTCTAATACATAAGTCGGCTTAACACCACGATTGTCGGCTGCCATTCCTGCCGCTTGGATCCATTTGTGGGATGAAGTGATACGTTCAACAAACAATCATGCAATATGCATGTTTTCCCATTCATCAACTGATCACATGGATCATCATGGATCCCCAAACTCGCCCAATCTTCCTGAGTTGGCTGCCCATAGCACATGGCGCCTTCTTTTTCACGCAGTTGCACTGGAAACACAGAGAAACACATTCAGGTTCCTGCCGCAAAGGCGCTGCCGATCTTGTGGCCTTGCAGCATGGAAACACATGGTCGCGCAAGTCTCGGACTCCGACAACACGTTGGTCAGCTGAAGCTGAGGTATCTCCAACATCTTCACGCACAGAATTGAGACTCATCTCCGCATCCTCGGGACAGTGACTCAGAAGTCCAGCTGCCGTTGCTTTTCATGCTTTTTCGGAAGTGGAAGCCGACCACTGTGGAAGCCAAGTTCATCTCCAAGTGGCGACCTCTCGTCAAATCGATCGAGCACTACCCCCCCAAAGAACCAATCTCAGAACCCAGCAACATATATGCTTCATATTTCTGCACATGCACCGCTGCAACACATCAATCACCTCACCTGATCCCCACCACATCCCGCTTCAGAATACCCCAGTCACAATGCCAAACATATCCAAACATCATGAAGTGAGCTATTGTTTGGTGACTCCCTTTGCGTGCCTCTTGGTCCATCGTCCAAGTCCAAATCCTGGATCTCCACCAGGGTGCCATGGAGGCCAAAGGTTTCATCCTTCCAGGCTGAGGCCGGTTTCTCAATCGTCCAGTGCGTAGTAGTCGCCACAGGGTGAATCACCCGTGTCAAGGCTCGCAAGTGCGACCTGCGAAGGAGCGGAATTGGAAGATACCTGGATCTCTTTTGGGTGGATCCTCTTCCTATCGGCAAAACATAAAAGTGCCTTCACCGTTTCCCTCTTCCTATACTCGAACCATGAATACGGACCACGGACTATCACAGTAATAAAAGTATGGAGTATGGAGGTTTCTATGGTTTTAGTGTTTATCTTCCACCTCAAATGCTATTATGTCTCAACCAGGAACACCAAAAGGTGTAAAAAGAACCTGCGATAAAAACTCGTTGCAATGCCTCCTCCATCAAAAAAAAAACATTGCCATTTGACATACGCACACAGCTGACCTGCTATCTTAAGTCTTTGTTATGTGCACTATCAGTCAATGGTCTCGGAATGCTCTTGAGCTCAATGTCTAATGTCTTCGTGTTTTCCAAAACATCTGCCTCCATCTCAACAGCTGGAGCTTTGGGTCTTTTGTACCACTTCATGCTTAGAAGGCCCAAGCAAAGCATCAACACCGCAGCAATCATCGAGTCTCTCTCAGCCGGTGACACGTGAATTTGACCAAATGCATCAGAATGGTGGTCCTCTTTGGAGTGGCCCACCTCACTTGTTAAGTTTGCTTCAGTGAAGTGAATTCCAGATCACGATTCAAAACCCATTGACCGCTACAACCCGTGTGTTTGCAGCTGGATGTTCCGCTTCCCACAACATATGTCCTCTATCCGACTCTATCCCTATCCTGTACGTTAACACACACATACACAAGAAAACAACGGTTGACAGAACAACAACACAACTTCCAAACTCCTTTTAAACACATCTGAGAGCCACCTGTGAGTTCATGTCCCAAAGCACCTCGATGGGCCGAGCAAAATGTCGAGGGCACTCGGCCGGCACCACACCCAAACGACCCTGGCGGAAGTCGAAAATCAGCTCCTGATGAAGCATCCAGCTACCACCTCCGAGCGACGTGAGGCTTGCTCGTGCACACGCGTTCATCCGCTATGTCAGGTGTCTATCCTTTGGTGGTGGGCTGCAAACTTCAACAAAGAATGAGGGTCTTAAACTTCCAGTTAAACGAAGACTTGGAGCAGCATACACCTAGAGACCTAGAGGGGTCCTGTGGCGGTTCGTGCCAGTGGTTCTTTGTTTCTGCGCTCCATCTTCTTCTTCGCCCAACCCGCCTAAAATTGTCCTGCCCGAGGGGCCATCATCTTCAAATGCATAGCAATAGTGGCCTGCATGGTCGTAGGTGTTAAGCCTTGACCTTGACAACTACAATAGATCTGTGATTAAACAAAATCAAAATATATTACTACTAGACCCCGTTGACACCTACAAGCCATGCAGCTGTTTCATGGTCCAACCTCTTAGAGTTCCACAACCGCTGCTTGTTGCCTTTGACCAAGTCGCGTGTAGATCTTGAGACTATCGAGAATTTTTGGGAATTTGGGAAAGTAATATCACTGCAAGGTTTGCTTAACCACCGACTTCGCACCCTGCCTGGCCGTCGGGCATAAAGGTAAGCGCTTGGGGCCCATCGGAATGTATGGCCGAAGTTCATCCTGTCCGCACGGTGAGGCGGTGAGTACGAAGGTCTTTTGACCGGACATACCCGGCCTCAAGTGGGCCCGGACCGGTAGGTGCGACCGGGTGCAGCCATAACACCACACACAGAATACCACGTGATGCTTCAATAACCTTGAAATATCTGCAGCCCAAGGCCCAAAACATTATACTGTGATAATAGGTTGTTCAACCCCGAAAGATCCAGTCGACAACGTGCACGCCCTCCACACTTCTCCGGTAGCCTCAACGCGGGGAAGTATTGCAATCGCTTGGTGATCCAACAGCTCCGCTTGGCCGTCAAAAGGCCTCTCAGAGCCGAAAAAATGCAATGCGACCGATGAGAAGCACATGTGACATCGGGTGCTGTTGACCATCGGGGATCTGAACCCGTCGTGGCCACAACGTACCGGTGGGGATGCCAAAGATTTCAGACAGGTTCAATATGCAATCTCACAGGATCCCTAGTTAACTCAAAATGCTCTGGAGTTGATGGAGTTACATCAATCAGGCTCCCAAGAAGGCAGGTGCTAGTGCTCAACCATGCGCAACCTATGATTCTGATTCCACCATATCGGAGTTGACTGGATCTGCAGCCACGCAGCCGCAGCGGTGCCGACAGAAGCTTTCGATGTGCTTCCGGATGGAATCATATGCCGAAGAGGAGAAGTAGGTTCCTTCCCCGTAGGAACCATGTGAAAACATTTAAGGATATTTAAGGGGATACCAAGGGTAGTTGCCAGGATGGTTCACCTTATGACCTTTTGCTGTCAACCTGCAGCCAACATGGGAAAACGCACGATCACAATCACAATTCCAAAAACAACATCCAAGAATGCCTGATGAATCACAGTCCAAGATTCGTGTGGTTCCACTCTCGACAGTGGTCTCACCATGGATTGGCACCACATGCCACCCGATGGAGATGCTGGTCAACGGAACCAGAATCTCCTCAAAACATGGATTCAGTTCAAGCAAAAGCAACCTCTTAAAGTGCAACTACTTCCACATGTACTGTACAAGTATCCTGTTACAGTATGTTGTTTTGATGACTGATCTGCGCGGCCTCAAGAATGCCCGCAACTCTAAGTAGGAGTCCCATTGGTTGGGCAAAACACAGTGTCCTATGAGTAAGAGGATTGCTGCGGAAGCATAGGAAACTATCGGTTTGGCCCACAAAGACCATCAGCTGGTGGATGTTTAGGGTGATGGGTGAAACAAAGCTGTAGCCGAAAACTGTTGGCATACTTTGGCTGCCGTAAACTAGGCCAAAAACTGTCTGCATCCGTGATCCGGTGGGTCGTAAACGATCGACCCCCCTGTTCTTGGTTCGCCCAGATTCACTTCGGCCCTGGGCGAAGATAGAGGAATTCATGCGCTGCTTCATCTTGATGTACTTTGGTCTTCCTCGGTGGAAAGACCAGTTGGGTCCGCCCATGGTGACGATGCCCCCATAGTCTGCCAAACAAACGGCGATGACATCAGCATCTCGCTCTGCCAACAGTGTGTCTGAGATTCCTGCTCAGGGGCTAGTGGCTGGCACCCTTTTCACATGGAACATTCAAAAATTGAAACTAACACACCAGAAGGGTATGTCTGGATCTATTCCCTGCTGGTTTTGTTTTTGCAACAATGATCACTGCTGGTCCATCCTTCAACTGACCTTGGCTACTTTGCATTGGATTACATAGTACTGTAAACAACTCTTGAAGCCTTCAATTTTGTGGGAAAGGAGGTTGGATCACAGTCAACTCAACGGCCATCCGGCCCCCCGCCTGGCGCCAACTGGAGGATTCCATTGGCTTTCAACGTTGAAAAGATATCCTTCTCCTCCGAGTGGCATCCCATCATTTTGCGACCGATCAGTTGAGACCCTGCACGCACCTCATGGCACCGTCTTGATTGTTTCAGCATCAAAAAGAACAAGAGCAAGGAGGTGAATCTGACAAACAATCTACCTCACATTATATATTCCATGATCAAACTAGTCATAGCTCCAGGGGATTCACAGGGCTTTGGGCGACCAAAATGGCGCCGCCAACGATCAACCGCTGGGGCTCAAGGAGTCCTAGAGAAAATTCTTGTTACTAGTAGCTTCTTGTTACTAGCAGTAATGGCATCCAACCTACTTGCAATGGACTCCACCTAGTAGCTTCTAGCTACTAGTGGCTTCTTGTTACTAGTAGTAATATGTAGTAATGGCCTCCAACCTACTTGCGATGGCCTCCACCTAGTAGCGTCCTTGCTACTAGTACAAGTACTAGTAGCTACCATGAATTACCTTCTGTCATAGATTATCCAAACACCTGAATGTTGCAAAGTCTAGGAGAAGACCGAGCATGCTTATTTGGATTTTCCAGAGTACCATGCGGTACTGCAGCCACCTGATTCAATAGGTCTTGGAGGTAATTCCCCAGATCAACGTGTTCTTACATTACATATTTACATACTGAGATTGGAAGGCACAAGACCTAGTGTGGTCAATACCCCTTGTGCTGTTTCAACGCATTCTAACGTAAGGGTCAGCAACAACCGGACATCCTTCAAATCGAGGCACGACGTCTTCAAACCACCAGCCTCGAATGGAGCTCCCCTCAGCGTAGCGTTGCTCGTACTCACAAGGGGCGTTGCTGGTGGCCAGGTTTCTGTTGCCACAGCCACCTCGGGGTCTCCCAAGTCATATCGACATCGGTCCACATCAACTGAGGTCCACATAGCTCGCACTGGCGTCACCAAAACAATCTCACCGGTGGGTTTGTCTGATTCTGAGAAGGCCCTTTCTTCCACCGTGGTGCTCATCTAGTTTCCAGAAGTCATTCTTTTCCAGCCCAGGTTTGCAAAAGAGACAGCAAACTAAATAGCAAGGGGCAGGGAGGGCCTCTTTATCGGCGTTGTTTTCTTTTACATTTACGTACACAAAGTGCTTTGGGCACTGCTTTGGGCTTTGCTTACCAACCAACCCCCCCCAACGATGTAATCTCCTTCGCCTGGGCACGGTGGCATCGCGGGTCGGCACATGGCAATATCTCTGCCGTGCTGCTTTGGTTGAGCTGGAACCAAGGGTCCATATGCTGCCTGGGAATGGCTGAGCACATGGCTGGCAAACACTCCCGTCTAAACTGTCGGAGGACCATTGTACTTGCTAGCATACCCCAAAAAGGATCACGCAATTATGTTCTATAGACTGTATGACATAGAAAACATCCCCCGAAAATCTAAACTAATAAATTCAGCCGGGCAAAATACAACATTCAAGTAACGAACATGGACAAGCAAATCTACAGTATATGTTTCTGAGGGAAATGAAAGTAAAACTATACCAAATCTCGACAATACCAGGATGCGCACAGCGTTCGCAGCTGGAGCAAGCAAAGGCAGTAAGAGGGCTACCAGTCAGGCTCATCATCACTGAAACCCTCCAAACGGCTTTCGATGAGTGATCCGGCCCAGCTCTAGTTTCTTTCCCAGAAGTGATGTGAATTTACAGAACATTGTGAACCATACAAGTAGCTGCTCGTGCATGGATTCACCTGCTCACAGAAAAGACTGCTGGTCATGTTGGCCTTCCCCAGCCTTTGTGGAGGAGTTCCCACCCAAAGGTCCAAGAAATAGTAGCCATCGTTCCGCAGATTGCCGTACACTGGGATCGGCACCAAGTGCGCACTGGCGCAGAAAATTAGAAGGCTCTGAAGGCTCAACCTCCAAGACTGTACACAGCAGTTTCCACGTGACCCTCGTGCATTTGCAGTATCCAATGGTATGAACCTGGAGGTTAGTTTATTAATTGGATGGATATGGATGGATTCCATGATGTTTGTCACAGAAAAAAAAAGGGGTTCAAAAGATTCCCGCACTCAGCAGGCGGTCAACTGAGCTAGCAGGTCTCTGCTTCCTTCTGATAAGCCAGCTCCCTCACATCATCCACCATCAACGACGACATACTATAAGGACCAGAATGTATACAGTATATAACTATATCTACGTCAAATATGATCAAATATGTATATATAACATATATGCCCACACCGGCCCACACCTCAACATACCCAAATGATTGGTCGAGAACCTAATACAAAACAATCGTCCTCCAGCCTAAAGAACGTGATCACAAGGACCATCCGGACCAGCAATGGAGAGCCATGGCGGACGTTGGAGAGCGTTACTAGGTTATTGCCTAGTGCACAGACCACATGGACAGCTTGAATTCAATTCCGCCAAAGCCACGCACACAAGCTCACGCTGTTGCTGCTTAGTGTGGTTCCATGGTGGTTCCAAAGATTCCAAGTTTGTGAATCTGATCGACCTGCATTCTTGGCTCAGCGACCCGGTCCTTCTCAGCTTGCTGAGTTGCCTGGATCATGTCGTCGATGGCTTGACGCCTGGCTTCACGAAGGGGGGTACCAAGCGAGCCAAGCGCTTTCGGCAAGACTCCAATATGCGGCAGAAATGGTCTGTAAGCATGTGGCAATGATGGGAGGAAAGGCGCTGTTAATCCGGATCAAGCTTTGTATAATACATGTATATACTTATATATATAGACTTAATTGTATACGATTGATTTGAGTTGAATTGGTTCATCATTTCTGATCTGTGTCTCTTTCCTTATCAACTGGGCATCCGTGCTTCGCACGGAACTCATCCGCAGAAACAAGGCCAACCTCGGCTTGTGGGCACTTCTTTTGGAGGCATCCCATCCCGACAACGACCACGAAAGTTCTCTGCACAGGTGTCCAGTGTTGGACCCCATGTGTTTATCAAAAGCACAGCACTGATCAGCACTAATGTATACTAATGTCATCTAAGTTCTTTTGACTGGGGTGCAATGGGGTGCGTATGCCACCACATTTATCCACCTCAACCAAGATTCACAGATGCACGTTTATACCTGCTGCTTGTTTGATACATGTAACTCACTCTTTTGGATTTCATTAGTGAAGGGAACTAGTAACTAAATGTAACTAGTAAATACAAAACATTACATAACTTATTGAGTGTGGCCATGTGGCTCTTGGTTTTGCAATTTCCCGCCCTTCCAATACAACATAATATAACAACATCAATCCTAATCTCTCTTTGCCAAATGCATCTGCTAGATTCTGCTGGTGAATCGAAACTGCAAGTGCACCTGCTTGTCATTGAACGGAGGCATCGACTTGGCCCTTTCAACGAGATTGATGAGATGATATCATGCGCATGAAAACTGGTCGCTGGTCACCCTTCCAGGAATCCCCGCGGCCATGTTGCGCCCACAGGATGTGTTCACCATGGAGGAAACCTATCGAAACCTATTAAAAGGACACGTAGTCGACCCACAGATTCCAAAAGCCCGACAGGGACCCGACGGTCTGTCGCTTAAACTCCTCCTCGAGATCCTCCGCCAAACTCGCCGAGGAATACTTGTCCGCGATGTTGGCGATCTGCCTCCATCGGGTTTCATAATGTTTGACTTGAGCAGCATGATGACTTCCCCTTTTGAGAGACTACAACAAGTAGGAGGAAGGCAGAACCTTCTTCAATACTCTTGTGGAAATCACATCTACTATTATATAGTTGACCATTAACTAAGGGGGATCAACGTAGGGGGATGTTACGTCAATATTCTCCCAAACCAGGACGTACAAAGACAGAAAGCTTGGAAGAGAACTAGCTTGGAGAGTCACTTAGTGCCCCCCCATGGCACAACATACAGCAACTCCATCTGCGTGACGTACCACCATATCGCTAGTTACTACAGATTGACATGATTGACATGTGTTTTAATGTAGTGTTTCATTGGGTGTCTTCAAGGTTTGATCCTTTGGGAACCTGTGTCGCAATTGGTGCTCTCAGCTCCCTAAGCCTCTTGTGCATGTCATGAGCTGTTCTGCTGGCAGACTCGACGAAGGTATAGGGTCCCTTGGCAGTGGTTTAAGACACCTCCACCTCCCTCCACCCACTTCGCTCGTTTGGGGGACTGCACCCCCGCACTGTCCCCGGCGATGTCTGCGATGCCTTCGTTTTCGGGTCTCATTCTCGATGTTGTTCTTGGTGGTGTGAGCAGGCTTCAGTGGTGGTGGGTGAAAGGGTTAGCAAAAGCTTCACCTTCACAGGGTCTGAAAACACGAATGGACATTATCAGGGCCCTCTTGTCACATCTTAAAATGATCTGCACGGCTTTGAAGATCGGCCCTTCAAACTCATTTCAGTCCAGACTATGTCCCTCCAGATTCGCTGAGGTCAGTTTGCTTCAATGAGCCAGGTGGTCTCCATTGTTTTGACACTTCTGCAATCGCCTGCATATTCCCAGCATGCGTGACAGGACGGTCTTCTTTCCGAAAGACAGCTCCTGAGAGGTTTCGCTACCAAGCTGCCTTCTCGGCTTCAGCGGCAGCTCTGGTCTCTTCGCGCCTCGCCAAACGGGAACAATGGGGCGGGTAGACATGCCACATCGTACAGCATGGTGCACCACTGCAGACCAACTTGGACCCCCAAACCTTGCTATGGAACTTAGCCTTCAGGACAAGCCTCACGGATCCTCTCATTCCTAGAAAGCCTATAAACATCCAAAAACATCCGAGCACCAGAGAACCGCAAACATATTCAACATATATACCCTAATCATGTTCGGGATAGGGAGATCGATGGAGATCCTCTTGAAGAGTGCTTGGACTTAGACACCAGCCTCTTCAGCAACTTGTAGGCCCTGCCGCCTTCGGAGGTTGCCACCATCTGAGCAAAAGTGCAGCACAACAGGTGGAAACATGTGGCGATCACTTTGCTGCAGGACGAAAAGTCTACATCCTCTGGTACCAACCTGCCTGTCATAGCTAGTTTTGTAGTTTGGTCCTGTGGAGGGCATACACAACCTGGAGTTGTCACGAAACACCAAACTGAACTTAACTTCATAAACCACTGTTCCTGCAAGCGCCCTTAGTACTGTGAGTTGAAGGTACTGATGCACTTGGAGATTCTGTATCATGAATTTCATCTCTCAAGGTTCCACAGAAGTTTGATGCACAAATCAGCTTCCGATCACCTTCCGCTCACATTCCGGCCTGCCGGATATCATTGCCGGTCTCATAGGCGCGAACCTAAGAGATGTCTGTGCAACGCGGGTGCGCCAGCCGAGACGCGGTGCTTAGTCGGGATATGTAGTCACGGACACAGCAAGCTGAGGACAACGAACTCGCAACCGCGAGCTCAAATTCTTTCTCACCAGAAGGACACCACCAAGCTGCAGAAACCACTGTATAGTGTATAACTGTATAACCTTCAAAATCAAGCAGACTAAATACTAAATAGACTCTAAGACCAAAAGACTGGTGGCTGCCACCATTCGGTCTTTCACACTCCATGGCCATGGCCCACCCACGGCCCACGCGCGGCCCAGGGATCCGAGCTGTCTCCAACTGCTTCGCCACTGGAGTTGCCATATGTCCTGCACAAGACGCTGAGTCACTGGCGCATGTCATCAGCTTCCGCATGTCATTCATTCTTCGATCTTAGCCCTCTGGACTCGACCTACAAATAAACTTGGGGAACCGAAACGACGGGGTTTTGACTTTTTACTTTTTCCCAGTGTGAGGTCAGTTCACAAGACCATGCCTTGGCCTATCTTGTCCCAGGCCTTCATGTGAGGAAATCCCCCTCTTGGTTTCCTCAAATGCGTTCTCCCCCACATCATAGAGGTGACTTGGGGATAATCCTGAATGACAAAAGAAAAGCACTGTGAGGGTGCTGGGTCAACTGAATCAGAGCGCAGTCCCTCACCTGCGCCTGTGATCAGCGCAAGGCGCTCAGTGGACGTGGTCTCAGCGACCACAAACACCAAATGACGATAGCTTGTGCTTCGGACTTCATCTCTCTGCTTGACTTCTCACATGGAGAACCTCTGAGAAGCGTGAGAAGGCTGGTACGTGTATTAATGCTATGTCAGACTCTGTAGGTCGCTCCAACTGCCACAAAGAGAGCTAAACTAAAGACATGTTGAAGAACTACACCGCATCTTTCGAGCCGCATACATGCAAAATGCAACGTGGAGTAGAGTAGACTGAACTTGCAAGGGGCACGACGCACACACATAAACACCTGCTCCGACTGATACAAAGGGTCAGAAGAAGGAGTTCCCAACTCCTTCCTAAGTTCATGGGTACAGGGAGTCCTCTCGCCCGTTGGAGACTTGGAACTCTAGCTGACTCTAGCTCTTTGACGACCATCTTCCACCAGGAGGGGTGCCCTAAATCGGTCAACAAAACCCAGGAACGGCTCATGTGGCTACGAAGTCCATGTTCACAGTTTTGGCAACAGCCCTTTTTTCGAAGGCCCCAAACCACGCAAGGTACATCTTGCCAGTGCAACGGCGCCGATCAACGACTAGGGATGGTGGCACAGTCAAAGGGTGGACACACCAATGCCCCCCAACCTTGGCAGATCGGCACGTCTTTGAAGCTTGGTAGTGTGCCAATCCCAGAGTTCCTGCAAGAAGTGATTTATATAATCAAATCATCATAGACTCATAGACCAGTTTATGAAAGTAATAAATACATCCTCTGGATGTTTGGTTCTGGCAAAGCGAGAACGTGACTCGTATCAAAGCGAACTGCCAACTCAAAGCGAACACCAATTCAACGAGTGAACACCAGAGTGAACGGCCCTTGACGGCTAAGCTTGCCTGGCGCTTGCCTCCCAGGTCTTAAGCCTACCGTTGTGCTTACACCCACTATATTGATATATGTAATATATACTACAGTAACTACGGATATGGACTCAAAGGATGGATGAGTTCTGGTGCTTTACTGCACGGCTTCAAACATCTGCATGTTCCAAGTTCCAATCGGCCAGTTTGATGGACACTGACAAAAGATCACCATTCTCAACTTAGGACTTCCCCTCCTGATTAACTTGGACACGATCTGTTCATGTATCCCCGTGCACCCCAATCGACTGCCATTCTGGAGGTCTCTACAGATATCTACAGATCAATACAAATCACTTTTTGGACAAACATCTGACGAACGTGCAGCGACACCATGGCCAGAATACCTGCATAAGAAAGTGAATCACCTTCGAAATTGGATTGCAGAAATCATGTCTATTCTATATAGCAGCTAGCATGCACTATCATAGTCTTCCCAGGGTCCATGTTCATGTGCTATGCTAGTTTCTCCTAGTGGTCTCTGGGGCATACGTTCAACCATGTTCAAGCATGTTCAAGCCACATCTTCCTGCTGCATCTGAACCTGTTGGTTTCCAGAAAACGACGTGCACGATCCGTAGGATCTGGGCTGCGCCGGCTCGGGAACGACACACGGGGAACGGTTCCACCGGCCCCCGCCGAACGCCCTGGTGAGGGGATGGTCTTGGACCAATGGTCTTGCCCGCCTTCAACCAACGTACTGGGACGAAAGCCATCGGATATGGGTGATTCTCCTTTTAGTCTGGGAAGGTCTAAATGACTCTGAATCTCTAGGGAACTACAGTACTTAATGCAAACACTGGCAAACACGATCTGTTGGACTTTTGAAGAGTTGCTTGCAAGTGCCAGAGAGAATGATTTCTTTGATGGTCCGCATATCTTGGTTTGTCTTCTGTGGTGTTAGGTCTATCAAGTGGGGGTCGGTATTCTCAATGGGATCCCCACCATCACTTGATGGATCCAATACAAACAAATCCTACTACCAGACCAGACTATTCCTTATCAGGGAGACTAAAAAAGGAAACAGCCTCCTAGGTACAGTCATAAATACAAAAAGGTGCATGTACTGCACACTTGCTACAGTAGCTCTCCCATACAAATTCATAAAAACATGCCACGTGTCCATCGGTGTCCCCGACCAGGGTTTTCACTGTTTTGCATTGGTGGCGACTCCAAACTTAAAAATTGCCGCACGCCGCGTGCGGTTCTAGCCAATGCATGGAAACTCAGAACCACGATCACGCCCTCTTTGAGATGCTTAGAGACCTTGCAATCCAGCAATCAACATGCTTGAAATGCCTGCATGTGCCATCAATTGAATCACCTGCCACAGGACTTTGGTCATGTAGCAAGAGTAATGGTCAAAGACCCTATTTGTGTGGATGAAGGTCATCAGGATTCGGTGAGTGTGGTGTTGCTTTCCAGGTTCAGCACGCAATCATTTCTTGGTGAGTGTTGTATTGTTGTCTTTCCAAAATTGCATTTTAAGATCAAACAAATTGTAGAGGATTGAGAGTAGATGGCGCAATCCCCAAAATATGGATCCCCATCTAAAAGACCTCTTGGGGGGTTGTGCCATCTGCTGTGAAACCACAGTACCACAACCACTCCCGACCGCTATCAGGTGTTCATTATTTTTGACTCGGCGGCTTGCGGCAGGCGCCACAACAAACGAATTTAATCGCACGATGCAGACTGTACAGTTGAGTTGAAAAAAAGCCGACAAAGGCCTGTGCAAGATCCGAAGGGTATGCAACTTTGGCCTGGGAGCCTACCAAATGATGTAATTACAGTAGAGCTTCTTATCATTATTGATGCCAAGTGAGCCTGAAAAGAACAGCATCAAGAAACCACTTGCTCGACTGACTGCAATGAATAGCCTGATGTTCGTCGTTTTCAGGGCAGACTAGCTCACTCCCAAGCCACGAAGCTATATGAATTGGAACCATTGGGCCGAATGTTGTGGTGAGGGCGGTGCAGTTCGACCTCCTGCTTGATTAGACTTGAAGCTGGCTTGCTGTTGCTTAGGGTGGATCCCCCCCAACACTCAAACGTCCTCAGACTCCACCAGCATCAGTCATGGGGTCGCTACTTGGTCGTTCGCAACGTGTATATCGCTTCCTCCTGCTTCCTCCCCTCGAACCCCAAAGTCCTTCAGATCGGAGATTTCAGGGGACTGAACCGACACTGGAGTCCTTGGCACTCCGAGCTGCTCCTGATTTCGCAACCGAAGGGCCAGGGATATTTGATGTTATTGGCCTCCTTGGCCAGTGGTTGGTGTTGGCACTGTTGGCTCTTTTAGGAAGGGCCCCTGACTTTCGGGTGAAATCTTTCCTCACGAGGACCAGGGTTTAAGCCTGCAGGGTGAGACATACAGATCATGATGACAAAGTGAGAAAGTGTAACACATTATAAACATATATACATCATATACCCACATCAAATCACACATCCTTCACACCTGGCAAAGAATGTTTTTCTTCGTCGTCCGAAGGCGACTTCGAGGATTCTAGGCATCGTCGCCCGATTGAACGGGAGGATTCTCTGGCATCAAACCGCAGGTCTCACGCACGCCGCGTTTCCAGCCGGACGCGGAGCGCCCGGCTCTTCATGGGTCGTAGTGAGGTGTCAGGTTGCCATCTTGGGCTGTTCAACCCCCAGGGAGAACAGCAAAGGGTCATTGCAAAGCTTTCAAAGATCCGGAAACCAAGGGCCCTAAGGAGAAGTGGAGACTGGAAATGTTGGACATTGTTGAACTATTGCACTGCCGGGAGCAATCCAACAAACATGAAAGAATCGAAAGGGTATAAGAAACCAAGTTGGTAGAGTAAGAGCTTAGTGACGTGTTGCTTAGCTCGAATGGAGGATAATAGAGGTGTCCAAAGGGAATAACCCAGGCTCACTCTTTTCACCTCTTTTCACTGATATTCAAGTGGCTACTATGGGCCTTAAGAGCAGGGTATTCAGCCTCGCAAAGAGGTTTCTTCAACAATTGGAGATTCTGAGATCCCCAATTATGCCTTTTAGGTGACCCCCCTGACTCGCAATCCCATCCCCAAATTTGGCTTTATCGGCTTCAGCCGTTTCGTGCACCTCGGCTCGAAAAGGCAGTGCCCGCAGAGGGATGGAACCTCTCAAGGATGGAAAACACCAGAGTTGGTTGTCTTTGACGGATTGCAGGCAACCTTGACAAGGAGAAAAGTTCTAAAATGAATTGAACAAATACGATGCTCAAACCCACTGTATCTTATTTCAGACCGTGTTCAATCAAACCCCATGCAAAACCCGGGCCCGGGACTCCGGTGGACTTGTGTTTGTCGGATGTCTAGTCAAACTTATCATAACTTGCATTTGCGAACTGAGAACAGACAGTTCTCTCACCCTTCAGAAATGTCAAGGCTGGGTGTCCATTCAAACAGTGACCCTGAGTTTTGCCCCCATTTCTCCAGCTGAGTGACTCGGGAAAAAGGTGAACAGCTTCATGAGCCAAACCTGCGATGTGTTCAAAAGGAAGCTGGAGAGGTGGACCATCAAACGGCGATGGTGAACTTGTGGAGCTCACTCATATGTATGTGATTCCCAATTCCTGGTCCTGCTAGCGGATTGGTGCGAGAATCATTGGGGTGATGTGGTAGCAAGAGCTGTGTCCGTTGCTTTAATTGTTGGGAGCATCTCAAAAAGAAATGCCATTTTTTTATGTTCTCATGTGGCTATCTCTTAAGTCTGACAGAACAATACCAAAAGTCTGGCGTTGGAGTTCACCATCCCTATTGTTCATGGACGGAAATCCATGAAACATATTCAAACATCATAGACATTCATAAACCCTTCCAACATGTTTAACTACCCAAAACAAAGAAAATCTTCCCTTTGCGGTGAACTCTGACCATCGGTCTCGATCGGCTCGATGAACGCAGTGCGATCGACCGGGGGATCGACCGGGGTGGCTTCAGCGAAACCAGGATCCGTGTGGTTTCGTGGTCCATTCCCAGAAGCCTCTGAGTCTGTGCAACAGTCTTGTAGAATTCACACGTCATCTTCACACTGAAGCATCGAAGTAGACACAATGCCGATCTTTGTGTAGAGAGACACCGCTACAGTGCTGCACCTTTCGACTGCTGTCTACTGTACCTGTTTTCAGGAGTTTTCGGAT